GAAAGAAAACTGCCACCCTAAACACGGGTGATGGGATCTTAGAGAACCCTGGAGAATCGGCTGAAAAACTGGTCAAGACAACAATAAAATAAACAGAGATCATCAGCATTCCTGTATGTTACCAGCAGAATTCAGCACCAAGACACAGAAAGGGAAATTCTATTGAAAATAAATGCAGTGGCGGACTTCAGGAAAACCTGGAAAGACTCGTATGGACTGACGCTGAGTGAAGTGAGCAGAACCAGGAGAACGTGGTCCGCAGTGACAGCCACGTCGTGCGATGACTCATATCGATAGACTCAGCCCTTCTCAGCAATGCGAGGACCTGAGACACCTCCAGAGGCCTCGTGATGGAAAATGCTGTCCACATCCAGAGAAAGAAGCACGGAGTCCGAACGCAGATCGAAGCACGCTGTATGCTCTTTTTTTTCTTCTGTTGTGTTTTGCGGTCTCTTTCTGGTGGTTCCTCTTATTGCTTCTGATTCTTCCGTACAACATGACTAATGTGAAGATATGTTTAATAGGAATGTATATGTAGAGCCGATTGCACACCATCTTGGGGAGGGAGGGGGAGAAAAATTTAAAACTGAAAAGCTTATGGAAGTGATTGTTGATAAATCAAAATAATTTTTTTTAAAAATTTTTTAAAAAGAAAAGAAAAGAAATGCAGTCAGGAAGACTCAAATCCAGCCTCAGACACTTACTAGCTATGGGACCCTGGGCAAGTCACTTCACCCTTGCCTGCCTTGGTTTCCTCAGCTCTGTAATAGAGCTTCCCTCCCTCCCAGGGTCATTGGGAGGGATAGATGAGATGCTGATTTCAAAGTGCTTAGCACAGTGCCTGGTACATGGTAGGTGCTACATAAACGTTCGTTATTAGGTGTTCATAAATACTTGGAGAGCTCTTTGTGTGGTGGTAGAGAGTTGGAAATCAAGGGGATGGCTGGACAAGTTGTGGTATACAGTTGGGATGGAGTGCTTTTGTGCTATAAGAAATGATGAGGAGGGTGGTTTCAGAAAAACCTGGGAAGACCTCTATGAAATGATGCAAAGTGAAGTGAGCAGAACCAGGAAGGCGGTAGACACAGTAGCAACAGCACTGTAAAGTCAGGGGTGTGTGAAGGACCTGGGTGAGCTGCCACCAGACAAAGGAGCTGATGGCCTCAGGGCTGTGATGGGCCTGACTTCTTCATGTCTTGCCTTCTCGGTGAGGGGGAAGGGACCTGGAAATAAAAGCCAGTTTTTTAAAAAAGAAGAGGCGGGGTGGGGTGGGGGAGACACCCTAAAACATGCGGTCAGCTTGCTCACAGCTCATTTTGACTTCTGGTTGCAGGTTCAAGTTGCTTCTTTTAGTCTCCAGTAAATGACCCAGCTGAATTTCCCAGAGTTTTCAAAAAATATCTTTGCGCACTTCCTCCCCGGGCAGCTCAGCTGCTGCCTTCTGTGGGGAGGCTTCTCCGTCCCCTTAGTCACTGGTGTTTCACCCTCCTCGTTTTCCCCTTTCCATGGGCTTACCCTCATCGCTTCAAGACCAGGGAGGGCACCATATTTGTTTTCTCAGTGTGGAGTACAGGGCCTGGCACACAGCAGGTGCTTAACAAATGCTTCTTGGTTGGGCTGTTTAGGCCTCTGGGCACTTTCTAGGCTGCCAGATACCTTGAAGGTTAGCTCCACCTCTCCAGCGGACTTTCTTTTTGAGCCCAGAGGACTCCACGGCCTTCCCTGACAGATGCTTCCGCATCGTGGCTCTCTCTGCGATGGGCATTGGGGGACAGACCGTGGCCAAGGGTCTTCCTCTCTAGGATGGCATCGAGCCACCTTCACCACTGCTGGCTGCCCCCGGAGGCCTCTGCTTCCTCTGACCGTGGAACCGGCTCCCCCTCTCCTCATCCCCCTCTCCATCTTGTCCCAGGCTTAGCAGCAGCGACCTTGTCAGGCATCTGGTCCATCCTGTCCGTCAAAGCTAGGGTGGTGCCCAAGGCACATGTCGCATGAGCCGTCCTTGGCTCTGCAGCCTGGGGACCCCTGCCTGTCCTTCATGGAGGGTCATGACATGGGTAGTGGGAGCAGCCTGGCCCCCGCCTCGGGTTCCACCTGGGGCCCCCATCCGTTGTGCAACCCCCAGGTTCCTCCTGGGCTGCCTGCCCATCCTCCCCGCCAACTTGGGTTCCACTCGGGCCCTCCTTGCCCCCCCCCACCTCGGGTTCTGCCTGGGGCCTCCTTCTTGTCCTCCTGCCTCTGAGGTTCTGTCTAGGGCCTCCTGCCCATCCTCCTGGCCCCCCCCATTGGGTTCCACCCGGGCCCCCTGCCCGTCCTCCTGCCCCCCACCTCGGGTTCCACCCGGGCCCCCTGCCCGGCCTCCTGCCCCCCACCTCAGGTTCTGCCTGGGGCCTCCTGCTTGTCCTTCTGCCTCTGAGGTTCTGTCTAGGGCCTCCTGCCCACCCTCCTGGCCCCCGCATCGGGTTCCACCTGAGGCCTCCTGCCCGTTGTGGCCCCCCCACCTCGGGTTCCACCCGGGCCCCCTGCCTGTCCTCCTGGCCCCCCCTCGGTTTCCATCTGGGACATTTTTGGCTGTTCCTCGTGGCAGCCTGAGGTCCTGCACCTCTCTCCCCATCGTTCTTTGGGCTGTCCCAGAGCTTCCCCGGGGAAGGCTGCCCAGCCTTCTTCCTCCTCTTTGGTTCCGGGGCTTCTGAAGGTTCACAAACCCTTTCCCATGCTTTGCTCGAGAATTTTGTCACGAATCAAAGTCAAGCTCCTCAGCCCCATCATCACAAATTCCGGCCCTTGTGGCCCCCGGAAGCCCGTCCGCTGTTCCCCACCTTCCTGGCTCTTTCGATGCTGCCATTCCAGACAGTGGCATGGTCTGACCATAGGCCTCTCTTGGGGCGCACAGCTTGGGGAGGGCCCTTCTGGACCAGGTTCCTCTGCCTCGTCAGGACTCTCTGATTGGAGGAGTGGAAGACCGAGGCATGAGTTGCACCCCGCCATGAGGCCCAGAAGCTGTGCCTCCCACGGCAGCAGGGGACCCCCTCCGCTGACTTGTCTGTAGATTGTAAGCTCCCTGAGGGCAGGCGCTGTCTTTATTGGGCTCCTCAGAGCTTGGCACAGAATCTCCAGGGCCCTCTCTCAGCACCTCTTCCAGGGAACCTTTCTGTGGCTTGAGGGCAGCCCCTGTCCTGTCCTTCTGGGCTGTGCCCATCCGCCAAGTTTGGGCCCTATTTACCCCTGGGAAAAGGGCATTTGTGTCCGTCCCGTTGGCTCCTGGAGACCCCAGGATAGACAGAGCACCATGTTCTCTTGCTTTGCCTGGCTCCTTGCCCTGGTTTCCCCTGCCTCCCTGCCCTGCTGGGGTGCCAAGACTGGACCTGGGGGGAGGGGTCACCGGGGCTTTTAGTGATGGGGCGGGGGGGGCAGGCTTAGCAACCCCTGACACCTCCCCCCTCAGTGATACCCTCTTAAAGCTTCTCTCACCTGTCCTGCCTTACAAGGACCCCAGCTGCATCCTACCCCCTGCCAATCTCCCTGCCCCTCTGCACCCAGCCAGGCCCCTCACTCTCTCTCACTACTACATTCCTGGGACTTGACTTCATTGTCCCATTTTATCTTCCTGGCCCCTCCCCGCCAGGAGCCCTAGGGATTATTATCCCCATTTCATGGGAGGAAACTTGAGTCTCAGAGAGATTAAGGGAGCTCCCTACAGTCACACACAGGATCAGAGGTGGGCTTCACTGCACGGTACATTCGGATCCCAGGCCAGAGATGCCTCCTCTGTAGAGGTGCCTGGCTCCCTCCCCCCCCACCCCTCCATGGGGAGCCAGATTAATCTAGAAAGGAACGAGGCACGCATGCAACAGAATCTAATGCTGCCCATAATTGCTTCTGCACCAGCTCCCTCTTGAGTGATCAAAATCAATTTGCAGCAAATGAGGTTTTCCAGAGCTGGGTGAGGTCTGGCTGTGGGGCCCTGCTGTGCCAGGTGTGGCTCAGAGCTGGGCGGCCAGTACTGGGGATGGCCTGGCACAGCACCTCTGCCTGAGCTCCTAGGCGTTGCTGGGTGCCACGCCCTCCCTGCAGGGCATGCCCCCTCCTCCACTGCTGCCCCTCTGCCCTGTCCCAGAGAGGGCACCACGCCCTCCCCACCCCCAGGGGTGCAGCTGAGACTTCTGAAAGACCATGATCTCCTTTGGAGAATGCACGTGATGGGTCATCTCCATCTGCTGAGCTATTTGTGGTCACTCATGTCCGAGGGGAAAAGCAGCCTGTTTTCAAGCGGGCCCCAGCCGAGGGCCACGGTGTACCCTGCAGACCCCCAGGCGGGGAAAGGGCTCCCCTCTCCCAGCATGCCTCTCTCTCGGGCCCAGGGAGGCTGATGGAAAGCAAACCCAACAGCTGTCTTCCTTTGACTCTCAAACTGGTCTCAAGACCCCTTTGTGCTCCTCAGAATGATTATTGAGGACCCCCCAAAAGAGTTCCTGTTTCTGTGGATTATAGATACCAGCATTTACCACGTGAGAAATTATATCTGAATATCAAGACGTCTAACGAGAGAATTAACCCTAAGCCCTGGGCGGGGGGCGGGGCAGCGTGAAGGGCACAGGGTGCCCCCTGGGCAGCACGTCTGGTGGGGTCCTCATGGAGGCCGGCCAGCCCCTGGGAGGGGAAGGGCCTCAGATGGCAGCAGCAGGAACTTGGGGTGTCCCCACCCGCCCTGGGACTTGAAGGGAAAGGGAGGGTCCTGGCAGAGGAGAGGCAGTCTCCCTCACTTGTCCGTTTTGCCAGGGGGGCTCCCTGCTAAGATCTAAGGAGGCCGCAGGGGCCTTGGGAGCACACAGCGAGCTGGCCTCAGAGTTAGGAAGGCCTTTCACGGTGTCTGGCAGCTCCCTTAGTCTAGGGCACATGAGGCAGGCTGCTGGCTCTGAGGAGTGACCAGCCTGGCCTGGGAGGGCTCTGGGCCATGGGGTAGCTCTCCTGTGATGTCTCAGCCCTGGCTGTCTTTGCAGGAAGGATCATCTGGGGATGTTTACTAAAAAGGCGTTTGACCACCTGGGCCCCATGATCGACGGCTTCAGCCTGATCACCTACGACTATTCTGCCGCTGAAGCGTGAGTAGAAGCGGGCGGCCCGGGAGGTGGGGGGCAGCAGCCCCTCTGAGTCCCTCTGGGGGTCGCCCTGGGTGAGGCGGGGGCTCAGTGACCCCTGGCCCCTGGGGCCAACCCAGAACCCCGCCCCTTCCCCCACCTTTGGCACCAGGTGCGTGCCCGCCATATCCAGGAGGTGAGGCCTAGACAGAAGGTAATGCTACAAGCTTTCGTACCTCCCATCCCCTCCCCTCACATATGGCAAACGCAGAAGGTCACCCACCCCAGGCCTGCGCCACGTCGACATGACTTCCTTGGCACGTCTGCTTGGATTGTCGGGGCCGCTGCCGGTCTTTGGGGACCTGAGGCCATCAGGAAGCCAACCCGCAGCTGGCTCCCCAAGGCCGGCGATGGGGTTCTGGCCGCTTGCCTGGCTTCGGGTGGGGCAGATGATTTCTGTGTTCAGTAACTGGGACGGCCCCAAGGCTCTGCCGTGGAGGGACGCTCGCTCCGAGCCTGGCTCTGGGGCCAGAATCGTGTGCCTTTCCTTCACGTTCCCAGCAGAGCGGGGATTCTGGTGCCCCGCAGCCCTTCTCCCCCTCCTCTTGTTAGAGCAGAGCACATCAGCCCCAGGTGGGCAGAGTGGGGAGGGGGGCTGCCTACCATCTCCTGCCGTGGTCCTCGAGAACAGAGGAGTGAGGCCCTGCCTGAGCTGGCCAGGAGAGGGGCAAGGGAGAAAGGCAGGCCCCGACGCGGCCTCCCTGGTAGCCGGGTTCTAGGTCCTGCAAGCTGCGATGGCCAGTTTTGGGGGGAAGGGGGTCAGCAGAAGACATAAGTGACATGGCAGCTCTTGAAACGTTGCCGAAAGTGTGCACTTCCAGGTTGTAAAGGCCCCTTCTTCCTCCACTCTCGCTTTAGGCCTGGCCCAAATGCCCCCTTGTCCTGGGTTCGAGATTGCATCGAGATCCTCGATCCAGACTCCAAGTGGCGGGGCAAGATTCTGCTGGGTCTCAATTTCTACGGCATGGATTTCTCAGCCACCTCAGACTCGAGGGAACCAATTCTCGGAGACAGGTGAGCACTCCATATGCCCCTTCCTGCCTGCCCAGACGTGGCCCGGCAGCTGCCACCCAGCTCTGTTTGTCCAGAAGGGGAAGCCAAGCCCTGCCAAGAGGCTACTTAAGGGGCCACAGGCGTGGCCTGGGGACGGGGATAGGGCATTCAGGAGGGGCTCCCCTAGAGCCAGCGGGTGCTGAGCCTGAAGCACATGGGAATGACATCTCTGCCCCAAGTGGTGAGAGCAGGCAGAGGAGCCGAGAGGGTAGCGCCGTGGACCAAGCCAGCGGCTCCTGTGGATGGTGGAAGGGGTCCCGAAGGGCGGAGGTGGCAGGGCAGCCGAGGCGAAGGGGCTGCGTCTGCTGAGCCCAGGGGAGTCGTCCAGTTGGGCTTTTGTTGTGAGAGGTGAGGCGGCGCTTTGGATGCCCCCGAGTCGCGGGCCCACGGGGAGCTGGTGCCTAGGCCTGGTTTCTGCCAGGATGCCCTCTGGTTCTCCCTGCAACGGGTTCTGCAGCCTCTGGGTTCATCCCCGAGCAGGCTCCCGTCCGCATTCAAGTCTGTCTGTTGGGCACCTGGTCGGTTCCCCTGCACTTCTGAATAAGCACCCGACAATTCTGATGCCGGCTGGGCTCTGGCACTGCTGGGCAGGGGCTCAGAGCCCGCTGTTAAGTCCTGGGAAATCTGGGGTTGGTTTATTGGACAAAGTGGAAAGGGCTGTGCTGACTTTTGTTTTCTGGAGAGAGGACTGTTAAGTCCTGGTTGGCCAGCACACCACTGCTGCCACGGCCTCTTTTGTTCTAAATATTGGTGCCACGATTTCCCATGAGGAGCTTAACCTTTTGTTCCCACCATACGAATTTTGTTATTATTTTTTCTAGCTCTATAGAGTGCTACTCTGGCAGTTTAGTTGGTTTGGCACTGAATAAATAAATAGGTAGTATTGTTTTTATCCTATTGGCTCAGCCTACCCATGAGCAATTACTATTTCTCCAGTTACTTAGGTCTCTCTGTAAAGATTGTTTTGTATTTGTATTTATTATAGTGCCTGAGTGTGTCTTGGTAGGTACTCTGGCTGGATGGTGTTGATAACATACAGAAATGTTGATGGGGATGTGGGCTGATAGAAGTTACTGATCGTTTGAGTGAATTTTTTAGTAGATCTAGGATTCTCTACACAAACTATTTGATTGTCTGCAAAAGTGACTGCTTGGTTTTCTCCTTGTGTCTGTTTATTTCCTCGCTTTCTTTTTCTTGTCTTATTGCTTTAGCGTGCATTTATAGCACTGTTTCAAATCGTGATGGTGCTGAGCCTGACTTTCTAGTGGACTATTTTTTTCTTTCTTTTTTTTATTAACTTATTTTGATTTACCAACAATCACTTCCATAAGCTTTTGAGTTTTAAATTTTTCTCCCCCTCCCTCTTTCCCCGCTCCTTCTCCAAGACAACGCACAATCTGATATAGGCTCTACACACACATTCCTATTAAACATATTTTCACATTAGTCATATTGTAAGGAAGAATTAGAACCAATAGGAGGAACCACAAGAAAGTGGAAACAAAACAAAACAGAAGAAAAAAAAGAGCAAACAGTATGCTTCGATCTGTATTCAGACTCCATGGTTCTTTCTCTGGATGTGGACAGCATTTTCCATCATGAGGCCTCTGGAGATGTCTTAGGTCCTTGCATTGCTGAGAAGGGTTAAGTCTATCAATATTAGTCATCGCACAAGGTGGCTGTTACTGTGTACAGCGTTCTCTTGGTCTCAGCATCAGTCCATACAAGTCTTTCCAGGTTTTTCTGAAGTCAGCCTGTTCATCATTTCTTATAGCACAATAGCATTCCATTACATTCATTTACCACAACTTGTTCAGTCATTCACCAGTCAATGGGCATCCCCTCAATTTCCAGTTCTTGGCCACCACAGAAAGAGCTGCTATAAATGTTTGTGTACGTGTGGGTCCTTTTCCCATTTGTATGATCTCTTTGGGATACAGCCCTAGAAGTGCTATGGCTGGGTCAAAGCACATTTTTATAGCCCTTTGGGCATAATTCTGAATTGCTCTCCGGAATGTTTGGATCATTTTAGTGTACTATTTTTAACAAAGCCAATTACTCCTGGACCAGCGTGAAAGGGGGACTACAGCCCCTCTGTCATCTCTGTGGAAGTACCTGGTTGGCACGTGTCACACCAGGGGCCACCATGGTAATGAGGGCTTCTCGCCAGCCCTTGTCCTAACGGCAACTGAGGGCTGCCGATTTGTGGTCTGACATGGTTCTCCCACACCACGTAATGCACCTTTACAGAATCTGCGGGTGAGGTCAAAACTCTCTTCATGTGGCATTACCGTGAATAGGATTGCAAAGTAAGAAATCTGCTAAACATCGGTTTCAACAGTAGATTGCGTACAGTTAATGCAGCAGACACCTTTAACCATATCTGTGGCTCCGCCCGTGTGCGATGCCAGCGAGGGGGCTTTGAACCTCTTGAGTCGGTGGATCACAAAGTTGTCCGATGTCTGGCCAGACCTCCTCTTGGCTTCTCTGCCAGGCTGGGGGCGGGGGCATTTGAAGTTGCTTTGCCCGTGAGTCACCAGGGGCAGCGCCTCTAAAGTGAGGAGTTTCAGGGTCAGCAACTTTGTAGACAGCTGAAGTGATGGGATCAGTCCTTGGGGGTGTCATCGACATTGGTCTTAGAGTCGTTTCTCATTTGCTTGTTAAGAGCATCTCGTCTTCTCTGGGAATGTACCCTCTGTGTGTTCACTCTCAGGAAGCTGTTGTTATTTGTGAGGTTTTGTGCTCTCTACTCTGAAATGACAGCAGACCTGGTGGTGTGTCCTCTCCGTCACTGACAGCAATGTTGTATCTGTGTGGGATGTGTCCTGGGGAGTCCTGATGTCCTGAATCTGGTGCCTGACGCTGCCCGGATCGGGCTTGTTACCTTCTCCTTGGTACGTCCACTGCCTTGGCTTACACTGGTTTCGGTTGTTCCAGTGGATTTCTCTCCAAACCCATTACACATTTATCACAAACGGGTGTTATTTCACTTTTTAAAAGCTAGAGATAACATACACTTAAGACAAGTTAAATTTAATTATTGAAAATTTCAAATTTAAAAAAATTTCGAATGATTGTAACTATGAGTTATTTCAATTTCTTAAAAGTTTCAGGTTTTTTGGAAAACATATACATGCATATATATGTACATACACATGCAGTACTTGTCAAGGCAGATACCCAGAGAAATAAAAGCGAGTTCCTTTAGCTTCCACACCCAGACCGTCACGCTCAGACGTAGCTAGGCCAGGATGACCCAGGCCTCTGTGATGAGCCCGGGCCTGGCAGCCTGGGGCCATGCTCCCGTCTGACCTTGCTTGCCCACCCCGTACTAAATCCTTTCTGAGCTGCCTCGATTGTCAGCTGGGGCTCTTCTTAGACTCATTTTGTTGACTCGATTCAAACTCTGCTCCCTTTGAAAAGACCGGCTGGCTTCACACGGAGTCATGCCGGGCCCCTCAGGCCACACCCCAGAGGCCTTGGAGGTGATGGAGTCTGTGGGGCCAACGTTTCAGGCCTGAGCGAGGGGAGAGCTTTGCCTGTGGTGACAGTTGCTTCATCTTGGGCCCCTCTCCTTCCTCCATTCATCGCTGTCAGGTGCCCCCTTCTTCAGGAGCCCAGGGGGTACCTGCCACTGGGGCTGCTGGCCTGCTCCTCTCCACTGCCTGGGCCCCAGGTTTAGAGGGGCCAAGCAGGAGCGGTTTGCAAAGAAGGATGGTGTGGGGGGCGGAGGTCTGTGCCCTGGAGACCATCACTCCCTCCCCAGGAGCCACGGTGCTGCTAGAGCCTGGAGACCGCTGGACCGGGCATCCTTTGATGGCGGGTGTCACTGTCTCATCACTGCTCCAGAGAGGCCCCTGCTGCCCTTCACACACACCCTCGTCTCTCCGTCCATCTGTCCTGGCAGCCCCTGAGCCCTCCCCCTGTTCAGGGTGTTGAGCTGAGGGCCAGGGAGGCAGCATCTTCCTTGCCATGTAGTAGGGGGCTCTGATGGGGCACGATACTGACCACAGTGAGAGCTCATGTTTCTAGAGTGCTTTGAAAACGCTAGCTTGTTGGGATCCTCACAATGACCCTGCAAGGTAGAGGCTTTACTGTCCCCATTTTTCAGGTAAGGAAACAAGGCAAGAAGAGGTGAAGTGGCTTGCCCAGGGTCTCACAGCTAGAAAGGGTCTGAGGCCAGATTTGAACTCAGGTCTTCCTGCCTCCCACCCCACACTCTGTCACCTGGGCCACCTCCAGGAGTAGCTCACTCCCAGACATGGGCTGGGTTTGCTCCCAATGTTCAGAGGGCCTGAATCCCCCTCCCCAGCCAGTCTGGGGCTGAGGTCCTTCAAGGCTCAGTGAGAATGCCCTCTCCTCTGTGCAGCCTTCAGCACGCACGTGCTCCCATGGGAGCGACCTCCTCCTGTCATGTTCTCCTGCCCTTCGCTGCGCTCCCTTCATTTGGGCCCAAATGAAGCCCTTACCTTATCTCCCCAGTGCCTTTGGACAGGGGGATTCTGTGCCCTGAAGCTCAGTCCCACATGGCTCTCGCCTAGGACGCAGCGATGGCACCTGACTATCCGTGTGTCCTCTCACGCCCCTCGCCCCCTGGGCTCCCCACCCAGCTCTGTGACCCACGCTGGTTTGCCAGGCTTCTTTCCCTCATCAAACCTGGAAGGGGGAGCCAGGTCTCCACAGGCCGGGGCTGCGATGCCTCTTTCCTCTGCATGCCCCCTGCCACAACCAGCCTTGGGTGCCACCAGTGACCTGTGCTTGACTGAGAAGGCCCAGGGTCCTGGAGAGAGGGTGGGGGGAGGGAGGGAGCGCCTTCCTCATCAGTGAGGTCACCTTGAAGGCCGGCAGCCACCTTCCTAAAGGCCCTGAGCACTTTCTGCTCCTTCCTTAGCTGGCCCCAGGGAGCCCATCCTCCTTGCTAAGTGATCCATCTATGTAGATGTCATTAACTTTAAATGAAG